CATTATTACGTTGTTTTATATAAAAAACTTAAAGAAACAACATTTTTTATCATGGGGTGTGCGATAGACGTGGTGCACCCTGGGCAACGTATATTCATACGGCAAAAAAGTCTATTAACTGGCAGTTGACTTCTCACTTCAAACTATCACCACCTCACTCTATACCATATAAGACTATTTCACAGTACTCACCTCACCTTTTTTCTACCTTTGTGCTTGTCTCTTACATCTTTGAAACACTCTTTTGTTCCGCCCACCTCTCTGTTTTTTTTCAATTTGATGTTCCTTCCCCTCTGTGAAGTCTGAAGTCAACTAAAGGGCTAATGATAACCATCAAGACGCCTACCATTTGATAAAAGTAAATATCATTTGTTATCATCGATTTTTATAATGGATATCACGTCCATAGGCAAATTGGTGACGTTTTGCGGTATAAAAATGAAGTGAGGAAGTGCAGAACCAATCAATGAGTCATTCTGTCCACTCAGAATGCGCGAACGGAGGTCAGCTTGTCATCTCCAACACAAGAAGAGGCGCGAATGTCGACCAACACCACACCAATGCACTTGAGCTTCTCATAAAAGGCCAAACTAGTTGTGTGTGTTCATCGGATCATTTGATGTGTTTCTTATCAGTTTAGTTTTGACAGTTCTTTACTTAAATCAAAGCGTTCATTTTTCCTGTTGTTTGGGTCTTTAAATGGACCACTGCAATTTACTTTCCTCAACTTGTGTGTAACAGTTGTCTTAATTACGCAAAAGAATTTGCCAAACATGCAGATACATTTGCGATTCAGAGAAATTCAATTTATTAAAGGTATTTGAGCATGATCTTTGCTATTACAATTAATACTTCAAAGTTTGCTCATTTCGAAATGGAAAAATTGTTTCATGTGTTTGCTTCAACAAAATTCTACTGAAAGCGTTTTCCTTACCAATATATGTAAGGCCGAACAAAAGTCTCGCCTTTTTGCGAACATTCCAGTCGCTGCTTGAAAGTGATTTTATTTCACACTTGTGAGAAGAAGCCTTCTAATGAAAATAATAGTTGGCAGACAAAAAAATCCCCATGAAAGAATTCCGGTTATTCTTTTTTTTTCATTTTTTTTCACTTTAAATTCCATAACTAAATGTGGGGCACGCCCTACAAGAGATGAGTTAGAATCCCGATACGCCCCTCAGGCAATTCTCGACTGAGAGAATTATTACTTGATGCGAAATGTGCGCGAAATGTGCGGCAGAACGACTCGCTCTGCGTGTGAGATATAAAAGGGTAGTGGATTGACCACCTTCCTGATGATATAATGGTGTACCGAAGCAACGCCTTAGCACTTTTTATGCTGGCATTACTTGTGACCTCAAACGCCAATATTTCACTGGCACGTATAGCAATTACCGGCACCTCTGGCCTGTTGATGGAACACCGTCTACTTGCCTCCAATTCTAATGAACAACTGCTAAAGTCCTTCTACAGTGTGCGTCAATGCATTCCAGCCTGTCTAAATGGTGGACGTCTGCTTAGGCCGTGGATGCCGTGGAACAAGTGCCACTGCGAGTGTCCCCCTGGTTTTCGTGGGTTTGTCTGCCAGATCTATGACCCCTTGGCCAAATAGTTGGACGAGTGGGAAGCCAGCCTTGTGGGAATTCTCCAGCCAAGTCGCAAGGTCGCAAGAGGTCGTCACTGCAGTTTGGGCATTTCTCCAGATTGGGGACAAATTTCCAGACAAGAGATTCAGATAAGACACAACGTCAGAAAAGCTCTCCCTTTAGAATGTTTTTTTCGAATTTAATGAACATTAGTATTAACTATAATGTTTATGTGTTAGTGCATTATAAAATAAATAATTAATTACGGAATTATTTTAAAATCTTCAACTTAAATCTAAAAATCATTCATTCTGCTGGCCCACGTTATGCTTTAACCTTCACTGGGAAGCTTAATTATTACTTATTTAGGAACGAATTAACCCGAACGAAGAAAAAATTGAGATTTTAATTACTTCAAGATGGGGCGCGTTGTGAAGTGGAACAAGTTCAGAGGTCCAAGGGTGTGTCTTGTCAATATTTTTGAGGCGAAAATGTGACTCACTTAAACAGGGGTTTAAAATTAAAGCTGAGAATATTTTGAGAAAAAAAAGATGTCAAGATTAGAAAATACAAAAAAGCTGATTTCGAAATTGGCATTTGAAAATCTTCGTCTAGACCAATTAATCACTGCCCACAGCCATGATTGGCAAGCTTCATTTGCTTTTAAATTAATTTAATTTATTTGTCCAGAATAATTTTCAAATATGATAGTAGATGAATGAACACCTAAACGGGTAATGCTGTAAATAGGGCAAATATATTGCCCCTAACAACAACAAAATTTAAAGGCCAAAATCCAAGTGCTTCATTGCAAAACAGTAATCAATTGTGTAAAGAAGAAAATTTTAGTGCATTTGTGGACTGTGTTGATGATAAAACAAATAGGCTTTTAACACTTTAATAACACACAGATTGATGATTGAATGAACTTTTGGAAACAAGTTTAAATTTCTACTTCTCATTCTGGCCCCTCCCACTCCCCCCCCCCAAAGATGCCAAGAATGTGCCAGACTGTTTCAAGGACATCTTGTTTCATTTAACTAAAGAATCTAGTCTTGTCGCAGGTCTCAAAAATGGGTAAGGAGGATTGGCCTCAAAGAGGCACTGAGGTGCACAAGGACAAGTATCCCAACCGTTGTGAAAAGTTGGCAAGAACACTTGAAGAAAATACCGAAATAGACCAACTGACAACTTTAAGTACAACCTCACTTAAACTGTTTGCTATAATCATTTCTAGCTGGGTGAGGCAAACGTAGAACGCTAAAGAGGGCATTTCACTGTGTGAGTGGCAGAGGGCAGGTAAGATCATCTTGACGATAGCCAACGTCATTCGCGTTTGCGTGTCACGTGAAGGCAACCGAAAAAGCAGTATCTTATCAGAGCACTTGTTTTAAAGCTTATGTGCTGCTTAGCAAGTCACCTTGAGTCAATATGAAGAAACGATGGTTGCGTAAATTAAGCTACTAATTACAAATTGAAAATCGGTTGAGTCTGGTTAACTTGGCAGAGCTCATTGTTTCAAGACACTAGTGATGCTAACACTCTGATACATTCTTCCAAGTTTTTCCGGAAAGTTCTCTCAAAATTAGAAGTTTTGGCTTTACAGTGCGGGTCTATTTTAATATAAATTTTGACAGTTAGTTTGATTTGATTTGACAAGCCCTCTTGATTTCGAAATTTATGTTACTACATTACAGACAGTTGAATAATGAAAATATTCTAGAGTCGAAATTTACCTAACAAATCTTATCCTATATATGATCAGACTACTTATAGTTGGTTTTACTCTTAAATTCCACTTTCTTTAGAGATCGAAAATGTTTAAATTATATTCCTCAATATTGACTCTCATTTTGTCTGTACAACGATGTTTCATTGTTAGATAAAAAGATTTAATTATTATCCTAGAAAGTTATACCAGTAATATATATTGCTTTTTATTAATGAAACTTTCATATTTATGAAGATTTAATAGGCAGAAGAATTACCACCTTGCTTGATTTTGATGTTAGGCCAGTCTTAAAAGGACTTGAGCCATCTTATTGATTTCTGGGAGTTGGGACATTTCTGTCTCCCACAATTTTGCGATAGAGAAAGCATGAGGTATTCGGCTTCTTAGCAAATAGTAAATAGTTCAATTTTTACAATGTTTAAAAAAATGGAGCTTTTTTCCATAGAATGCAGGATAAAACGTCTCTCAATGCCTCCGGCATATCTTTTACCGCCGTCTCTCCTATTTCTACCAAAATTGTTCGCCATTTCACCTTTAATTTTATCTCTCATTGAGTTTTTAAGTACGAACTCTGTTGTGATGAACAATGCTGACAAAAAGTTGCCCACAACAGTCAGAGGTAATGCCGTAGTTATGAATCTAGCTGATTCCCTATAAGCTTTCATTTTCAAAGTCGTTTTGGCTCGTCGTGTAACCCAGGACACCAAAACCAAACAACAATCAGTCCCGATTGCCTATCTATCAGCACTTTAAAGCATGTCCATGCCAGTGGATTTCTGTAATTTTAAATAAAAATAAAGCACTCCTTGCATTTTTCTGTATGATTTTTGCAAAAATTAATTTCGAACATTTGGTTGTAAAACTTTTTGAATATTCCTTACCCAACTTTATCGGTGTGCATTAAAATAGTGCAATATAGTATGCTTCATTCTTTGCTTATAATAAATGTTCTAACCTCGTGTGTATCCCGGACACCGTGGTACTTGCAGCAGTTCAAAGTAGGCGTCTCTTGAGAAAACAATCGATTTTACCTAAGAAAGAGGAATAACACGAAACATCCCCACACAGTGTTAGCGTTGAGTGAAGTCACTACGTGCTAAGATACATCAAATGGGGTGACCCGGATGAATAAGTAAGTATTACCAAGAAAAATTGAATTTTGTAAACATAAGGGAAAATTGTTTAAGTGTCAATCATTGATCTCATTAATAACCTCCAAGATAACACAGATCAGGCAACCACAACTAATAAATCATTTTGTATCTAAATTCTCATTTTAAATGGCATGTAAATTAAACACTTTAAAATTTGCTTCTGGGACAAAGTCAAATCCTTCGCTTGGTGATTGCAATCAAGTAGATTCATGATTGCCTCCTCCATCAATTGTATTAATTACATTCAATACAGTTTCCATTTCATAATAGAATAGTTCCCCAATCTTCGCATCCACTTTATTCAAATGAATAAATGCTTAAAAGAATTGTGAATTTGCAGTTTTAAGGGGGATAATTAATTTTTGCCCATTTTTTTCAACTTCTGTTATTAAGCGATGCATTATTTATCAAGAATTAACCCCCATTTCCTGGAATAAATTTGTTAAATAGCTTCTAGAAATTAATTGTTAAATATTTACTAGTCCTAGGCCTAGTTGAAAGGCAAACACCAGACCATTCAGGGTCAAAGAACTTAAGGTCGGGATTACCCAAGAAATATAATTTCGTTCGATCAAAATATTTTTCATGTTTTCAATCTTTTAACACATTATTTTATGGAATTATTTCGAAACTTATAATTACTTAAATATGGGGACGAAATTTTTTCATTTTAAGTCATATTTTAACATAAATTGTATCCTGTTTGTTATACATAATCTTCCTTATACTATGTCATATACATTTGTTACAATTAATGTAAATAAATAAGAGATCTCATTTAAATAAAGCAAAATTTGACATAAATGAACAAAAAATATCCTAATATTTTTTAATCCCTATTTCAGTAAAAACTGACTTTAACTTCATTTCGTGAGTAAATATACTTGACCTACTCTACGTTGCATCAGCCATTGCTCGCACCCACGCCGCAATAGCTCGTCAAGTGGTCAGCGGCCTGGACGTACCATTTTAGTCTCTTTGGTGTTATATACTCGCTTATGTACCCACTGAAGATATATTTCTCAAATGGTCATTTAAAATTTACATCCTATAAATCACTTCCCCAAATGTCTGTAGTATTTTCATATGCAATATTTAAAATTTTCCGACCCTTGTGACAAATAAATGCTAGGGTAAGTTTAATTATTCAGTGGTGATTTACAAATTGAACCGAGTCACATCGTAGAACTCTCTACTTTCATTCTCATATCAGCTGCTACCAAAAAATTTAGACATTCTAAGGGGTTACTTAGCCTTGTTCGAGCTTTTCATTACTAAATTGTGGTATTTATTAAATAATTTCAATACTTTTGCATATTGCTTGAGTGTATGTATAAACGGATTTAATTCGAGTGGCTTGAAAGTTAGAGCATTAAAATTGAACTTTTATAAGGCAATTCACATATATCGTTTCAAGCTTTGTTGACGGTAATCAACGCGAGTTCCTTTCACGAAAAGGAAGTAGAAGTAGTATATTTTTAACCGCTACAGCAACATACTCAAATAGTTGGTGAGGCTTGCAATACTTTTGCCAGGTTTGAAAAGGCGAATGTAAACTCTAAATAAAAATCACCAGATCAACTATTTTTGTTTGTGTTTTCAATGAATGCAATTTGTCAAACTAAATTTTTGCTGCAACTTTAAAATTTGAACCAGTGAATGCTGTTTACATGGAATATAATTCATAATTACAGATCAAGTTGTGTAAACATGCCTCCAGGCAGCAAGGTCGGTTTCTATTTCTTTTTTATCTTTCGCTTTACTTCAGCATATATTTGAAATAATACGTTTTTTGCTTATTAGGACATTTTTTATTATTTAAAAGAATAAATGCATGGCATTTACAAGCAAAAGCAGAATTAGCTCACAACTTGGCATAATGCTCTAACATGATTTCACAATCGATATCACTTTTGAGAAAATAAGACTATTTTTAATCTAATGCAATTGGTTAATGCCCCCGTGAATGGAGATTTGTCTGGACTAACTGCTTTAGTTCTTCTTCTTCATCTTCATATTAGTCAAAGGACGTCTTGTAAAGACTCCTTCATTACTTATTAATGATGCTCTATCAATTTCCATTTTCGTTTTAACCAATTTTGTACTAAATTCTACCATTTCCTTGCTTTCTTATAAAACCATAATTTTGAGATAGCATTGACTTGTTTCTCTTTTCGTGAGGTTTGGTTCACAAGTTAATTGAATAGATTTTTCAAATGAATGTGATTGACAAAAGCAGATTGCATGCCTATGTATACACTGATGATCTCTTTTGACATTTTGGAGTCAGTAGCTCCGTTAGTCTCCGCTGTAAGTACTCACGTGATTATTCTGAAACGATTACTTTAAATATCCATTTTAACGCTCAAATATTCCTGTACATAACAGGGCCACAATATACTTGCTGTAAATCTTTTTTTATACGACACTCTTATTTTTTCTGAAATAACCATTGCCTGTTTATTTGCACAAAGTTTCAAAAAATCTCTGATTTTTACATCTTTATTGACATTGCCTTACACCTCATTTTGGAGTTCACATTTTCTGAAATGTTGATATTATAGGAAGATGTCCACCATATAAAACAATTAGTTTCTATCCTTTAGTGTATAATTGAGCCACTTATGAATATTTTTTTGGCATATAAATCAAATTAAACTTTGTAATGCCATCTTTGATGAATGTAGAAGAATAAGTGTGAGAAGGAGATATCGCTGTACAGAGATATTTGTGGCGCCTGCATTGGTGGAAGCGAGGAGAGTCGACGTGAGGCGTTGGAGCAAATTGTCAAATCGGCGAAAAGCAAACATCAAAATAAGCAGCTGCTGGCTTTCATTTCGGAGAGCGTAAGCACTTTACCGCACTTCTTCACTTGACCTTTTAGGTTCGTTTGAATGTACTCCAGGCCCGTATGGGTAACCTCTTAAATCTAATGAGAATCGTGAAGACCCTTGTAAACTCTACAAGCATTCCACCCGATTATCATCTCTTCGACATTATTTTGTCCTGTATCACCTGCTGCGTAGGTGAATATGCCTTCAAAGACACATCCAATGAAGATTTACATTGGCAGGTGCGAGAGTTTTCGTCAATGCAACTTTTCAATATTTGTGAAAAGTAAAACCAATTTTTACGATTTGCATTTGTTTAGGTATGAACCGCACTGTAAATATCTCACGGATTTCATTTTGGATGAAATCGACCAAACATTTAAATCCTGGCTCGACTGTCCTGTGGGGCAGACATCAATTTCACGCCTTGCAGGAATTTACGGAATTCTGTTCTGCTTTAAGAAGTTTGGTTTTAAAAGGCTTCATCAATTCGTGTTTCCCAGAATGCCAAAGTTGTGCGAGCATTTGAATGCAAATTTGGAAGGAAGATATATAATTACATTTAAGAGATGTGACACTTTAGCGGTTTTAAATGAAATCAAACTTAAAGCCGTATTTAATAAAGTTTTAGGCTATATGATGGTATGTAGTCAAATTCAAAACTTATTACCATTTCCCTATTTATTAGAGAGCACTGGCAGTCCCCTTAATGGAGTATCGGTATATGAGACTTTTGCCGGTAAGTAAGGGAGCCTTCAATGTGGACTACGGTAGAATGGGAAACTTTCTATACATGAATAATGACGAATATGAAGACAAACAAAAAAGAGAGTTAAAATATGAAAAAGGAATAAAAAAACTCGAATTACAGGACAGTTATTAATGTGACTTGCAATTAAATTGTAGAACTTTCTCAATTAAAAATGTGTAAATTAAGAATTTTTTCTTAGCTTTATCGCGCTATTGAATTCCGCATTAAAATTTTTCAGTTTGCAATATTATATCCTTTTTGCCTAAGTGGAATTGCGCACCATTGCAAATTTTATAAAAAAAGGAATTTTAATTTTATTTTCGGATAAATTTTGGATTAATGTTATTAAGGAGAAATTTATTTTAAGCAAAACGGGCTCAGCAATGATGGGATTCTATGTTCATATTCTGCGAATACTAAATATACTTTATAGTTCAGTTGTAGAGTTGAAGGGTAGATGAGATAATTATTACAAATATTTTTATATTTGATTTTAAACCAATGGCAAAAATTACATCAATATTCTATTATCAGAACTAAGGAGCTTTATAATAGCATGTTTGAAAAAAAAACCTGCAGCAATCTTTGCGATTCATCATTTTAGAATTTTCCGTATTGATTTAGAGTAAATATTTTGCTTTGATCATTTTTTCAAACATTTGATGTATTAAATAACAGTATTTAATGATAATCAAATTTTGAGGACTTAAGAAATGTGAACTACAGCTTACTAACTATTTCAATACCTGCAGGAATTATAAGGCAATTTTAATGCCTAACAGATATCCAAAATCTTTCATTTTTTAATGCATATTCAAATTAGTCTCATTATAAATATTCGTAACTATTAAAATGTCCTAGTTTACGCACCATTTGTACATATTTTTCCCGTTTAATTTTTTGTTTGAATCAACACTAGTATAAACTTACCGACCTTGCTAAGGCAGTCGGATAAATCGTTTCTAAGTAGGTTGGTTACCTGCCATTTGTTCTTCAACGAAACTCTCCGTTTATTCTTGTAGAATTTTGTTATGCTTTGAATTTTTCCCATATTCTGGCAATTGGCTTTAATTTTAATATATGCTTTACTTCCACTTGCAGATATCGCTCTTAAAATGTCCATCCTGAGAATTCATGCTCGTCAAATCTTCGACAGCCGTGGCAACCCCACCGTTGAGGTCGATCTTGTCACCGATCGTGGAATGTTCCGCGCTGCTGTCCCCTCTGGTGCCTCTACTGGTGTTCATGAGGCCGTTGAGCTTCGTGACAATGACAAGGCAAACTATATGGGCAAAGGTGTCACAAAAGCCGTCAAAAACGTTAACGACATCATTGCCCCTGAACTTATTAAAAAGGGCCTCAAGGTCACTGAGCAGGAGGCTATTGATGAGTTTATGATCAAATTGGATGGAACAAAGAACAAGGGCAAATTGGGAGCCAATGCCATCCTGGGTGTTTCTCTTGCTGTCTGTAAAGCTGGGGCTGCACAAAAGGGAGTTCCTCTCTATCGTTACATTGCTGAATTGGCTGGGAACAAAGATGTGTTCCTTCCTGTGCCTGCTTTCAACGTCTTGAACGGTGGTAGCCACGCTGGCAACAAGTTGGCCATGCAGGAATTCATGATCCTCCCAACTGGCGCGAAGAACTTCACAGAGGCCATGAAGATGGGCTCTGAAGTGTATCATCACTTGAAGAGCGTTATCAAAGAAAAGTACGGTCTTGACGCTTGTAATGTTGGTGACGAAGGTGGTTTTGCACCAAACATCCAGGATAACATGGAGGGTCTCGAACTCTTGAACACTGCTATCGCCAAGGCCGGTTACGCTGGTAAGGTGAAAATTGGAATGGACGTTGCGGCGTCTGAATTTTACCAAAAAGGAAAGTACAATCTGGATTTCAAAAATCCAAAAGCTGCTGCCTCTTCCATCATTTCTGGCACTGATTTGGCTAAGATTTACAAAGACATGATCCAAAAATACCCTATCGTCTCAATTGAAGATCCATTCGACCAAGATGACTGGGATGCTTGGACTCATTTCAATGCTTCTGCTGGCATCCAAGTCAGAGACTATTTTAAGCCATTCCTACTTCACTTATCTCATAAGACTGACCCATTTTCTTTCTCTTTAGATTGTCGGTGATGATTTGACCGTGACAAACCCAGAGCGCGTCCAGACAGCCATCAATAAGAAAGCCTGCAATTGTCTCCTTCTGAAGGTTAATCAAATCGGCTCGGTGAGTGAGTCAATCAAGGCCTGCAAGATGTCTCGTGCCGCTGGATGGGGTGTTATGGTATCTCATCGCTCTGGAGAGACCGAGGACTCAACCATTGCCGATATTGTTGTGGGCCTTTGCACTGGCCAAATCAAGACTGGTGCTCCTTGCCGATCTGAGCGCTTAGCTAAGTATAACCAACTATTGCGCATCGAAGAGGAGCTCGGCTCGCATGCTCGCTACGCCGGCGAAAACTTCCGCAATCCAAAGTAAACGCGTCTGCTGCTGCTGCTGAAGAGCGTCGCTGTTCCCCGCAGTTGCCATAGATTGAATCAATTTAAGCGTTCTAAAGTGTGTTTACGTGTTTTCCCTTCCCTCTGTTCAACAGCGATGGTTATAATTTGACGAATTTTCTAAAGGAATAATTAATCTTCAATTTATCGACTTTTCTTTACTGGGATCCTTCCGGTAGTATGTAACGAGTTTAAATATAGCTTCTGCCTAGTATTTTAAGTGCAAATTTAGTGTGTTCCCGAGTCTTGGTTAGACTTCTTTGGGGTGATTCCTAATGCTTCCATGGGATGGGGGGGTGACTAAAAGAAATACAGATTCAACTGCAGGAATAATGCTCTTGAAATCCGAAAACCCTGAAGGGAAGACCGGATGAATTAGGAAAAATTACTAAAGGCAATTGAGCACTTGTCACTGCTGTTGAAGGTTGCGTTAGTTGGATCATATGGGGATATGTCATCGTTAGATTCACCTTGGTAAGTCGCATAAAATTCCTGGCAGTTGATCCAAATTCATGTGAAATTTGAACCAAGAGCTGGGGCTTCCACGTTATTGTTGACACCTTTGCGTCGACACTTAAGGCCCACCGCCGTTGTCCACAAGTTAATCAATATTTACATCTACCTCCACCCATCCAATAACTTCTCGTTGTATTGGCAGGCTGCCAATCGATTGACTTTGAGTACAGACTCTTTTTCTGACTATTTCTTTTTATCCCAACTGAGGTTCTCGTTTTAAAATGTCCATGAATGACTGCCTATCAGCATTATTAAAACAGATTTTTAAATTTTGATAATGAAATTATCCAATCCGATGTCTATTGTGAAGGATCTTTAACTTTCCATTGATCTCTGATTGTTCGATTTGTCCATGGTTTTTTCATCTACCTGTTAAAATGTCGCATCAAATTTTAAACAAGATAATCTACTTTTGACTAAATTTTTTTGACTTTCGGTTGGGTTAGATGAAGTGATGGAACTTGAGATCATTCTTAAAATTGTGGACGTGGGTGCAAGTGGCCTCCCATCCAATCGGCGTTCAGTATTTATAGCGAAAAATGGCAAATTTTTGGCAGTTAACTTTCTCCACACGATATCTTCTGCGTGTTCGCTACTTTGGATAAAGACTAGTTAATTTGGGTGGCAATTTATGCAGTAGACTTCGATGGTGGCTTGTTACGCTTTTCCGAAACTAGTTCGATTGTGCATCGAGCAATCTCTGTCACAATCATTCTAGAGGGTGTACTACGTGCGTGGAGAGGTCTCATAAACAATTAACGTTCATCCAAGTTATTTTAAGTTAAATAGACTCTAAATCGTTTTTTTGCTGTGCCCTATACGCCTGCTCCTTTGATATCCTTGAGGTAGTTAAGCGCATTCTAGGAGAGAATTTCCATGCCATACTATTTTGCCATTGAGTTTACTGATAATAAGTCAAGGGTTCTATGATAATTAAAAAGGTTTAGTAGTACTTGCTACCAACTTCGCTTCTTTATGTCTTTATCATCAAATTGATCTGCAACTGTTTGACTTGGTCTTTTGATTTTTTCCCATCGCTCTGCTAAAACTCACGCACTTATAAGTAAAAATCTGCCGCGAATATATATTCAAAACTCTTAACTGTTTCCTTATTTAAAAGCCTCGAATCATGGTCGTCTGCACACTTGTGCGTTCAAATAAAAGCATAATAATAACAAGTTCATTTGTCTTTTCCCTTAGCACTATTCAGTCACTATGGCAACTAAGTTGGTGTGATCTTTGCAGCACATCGATTGATATCACAAACACGAAGCCAACTTTGGCGGAATTTATTACAGTTTTCAATAAGGAGCTGCTCATGACAGGGGTATCGAAAATTCGTTTCATCTCAAACTAACTCGAAACCTTACCAATAATAACTTGTGTTCAGCTAAGTCAGTTAAAATATTTTCAAAGTAGGATCTTAAGGAAATTTTAAGCAAATTAAGGAAATCAAGATAGAGGACTCTACGATGAGTATCATGCCCTCCCCCACCCATCTCCCAATTGCCAATTACATCCGTAAGCAGCTACGATGGGCCTTGGAATTTTCAATCAATAACTTAGTGCGATATATTTATTCTTCAATCTAGTTGCCCTAACCCTAATTTCGCATGGCTTTATCGAGCGTGACTTGTAGAGGAACTAGGTTGGACTGGTTTCAAGGCAAAGAGAACAAGCAACCAATGGCAGGCTTAGCTTGCACAGACTTGTTAAATCACGTACAGACGTTTCAACCAATCAGAAGATCACACCGGGTTGCCATCACGTAGATGCGTTTTTTTTGGGCGATTTGTTCTCAAGACAAAGCCTCTTCCCTTGCTAATCTATATTTTCTTTTTCACTACGGTTTTGGACTAATTTGCCACATCTGACTAGCTTGTATCGTTATCTCGCTTTATTTGCCAAAGAAGGCACGCTGTTTTTTAAGCTGAAGTAAATATTTAGGTGAAAAGTGCGTACGTGACAGTTAAATTTTATGAAATGAAAAGCTATTTGGACGCCGCCAATCCGGTTTAAACTTTCAACGTTATCGCATCCGTGACCCAACCCTCACGCAAATGTTTTATGGTCTTAGGGTTTGCACTGAGTTGCACATTGATTGGGTTTCCAGGGCAAAGTGACCACGTAGACATTTGGTCACATCTACACAAGTTTTTTTTTCGCTGTGAATTTTAAACAATCGCGCTTAACTGCAAAGATTTAAAATGGGCTTGCAAATGTCTTCGGCTTGCAGATTCTATTTTTGTGCTTCACAGTTTTTCTTCCTTGCATGCATAAGAAACAAAGGCACAGTAAAACAGGCCCCTTTGACAGAATTATGGCGAGGACCATTGTTTACTTGCGATTGACTGATTAATGACATTTTGCGGAATGCATTCGCAGATTTAAGAGCTTGTACAGCCATGGGTGGAAAATGCGTTAACCGGGGCAGGCAATTTGTTAATTTGGACCTCCCTGGATATCTCACAGGTCTCATCGATTAAAGTTAATCCCTGTAAAAGGGCATTTTCGTAGGAATAAGCTCAATCAACTGTTAATTTAAGACCAAAATTGAGGAAAGATAGAGGCAAAAACACATAAAATGGGCCATTGGACTATATTGTGAAATTTTTGAATTGCAATTTATAAAACAGGGCTTAACTGGTTATTAAAAGGAAGTGTATATAAATAGCACCAGCACGCTTTGGTGTGGCCCTTATGGCCTTATCGGCACACCACCAGGTAGAGGCCTAAAGCCAAGATAGAGGACACTTCGAGGATGAGTCATACCCCTCCCCCCCCCGTCTCCTCGTCAAACTTAACATCTACTAATTACATCCAAGTTGGCGAGTTGGTGGCGCCAACTTTGCTAGATCTTTCATGGCCAGTTTTAAAAAGCATCAAACTTAGCTCGAAAGTGTTTATCATAAAAATTGGGTCGATTTATAGCAATTCAATTCAACGACCATTCTAAGTATTTAAAATTTTTCGAGGAGTGGGAACTGCTAGACAGACGAATATTTCGTGATACTTTGGGCTGATCAAAATCAACTCCAAACATCTACCTGATTTTTTCAACTCTAAATTTCATTAGTAATTTCAAATAAGACGTTGTTAGCTGTCAAAAGAACATCTTATGTTGTCATATCAGCCTTTGTTTGAGTGACCTTTTCGTATTCTTGTATCTGTACAATGTTTACTGAAACCGGGTATCCGGTAGACTTACCTCCACTCGGTGCACCCTGAACAACGTTAATCCCTACGACAACAAAGTCTATAAACCGGCAGTTGACTTAAAACTACCATGATCCCACTGAGTGTCAGATTCCACTCCTTCCACAAAGCTCAACTTACCGTCTTCTCTGTATTTGTCTGTCTCCTTACATCTGTAAATCATTCCTTTGTTCCCCCTTCTCGAATTTTGTGCCTTTGTTATCCCCCCCCCCTTGTGAAGCCCGAAGTCAAATTGAAAGTTATCATTAGCCATATAGCTGACTTCAGGCTTCACAGAGGAGAAGGAACATCAAAGTGACAAAAAGTCGAGAGTGGGGAAAGAATAATGATTCACAGATGTGACAGAGACAGACAAAAGAGCAGAGAAAAGGTAAGATGAGTGCTGTAAATGGGTTGAATATGGCATAGTGGGGGTAGTTTGAAGTCAGAAGTCAACTGCCGGTTAATAGACTTTTTTGCCGTATGAGTATACGTTGCCCAGGGT